TTAACAGGTACTAATGAATTTGCAAGAAATGTAAGATGTTTATTTTATTGGTTATATATAACCAATAAAAGTTTAATAAGTACCTACCTATTTGCAAAATAAAGTTTAATTCTTTAGATAAAATAAAACGTTTTATTTTATCTAAAATGAGTGCATTCCACGAAGTAGGGTTTCAACAATTAAACATTTAATTCTTTAATTCCAGGAATCTACGACAGTAATTGACTAGATAATTACCTTCTAAACTTATTCCACAGAAAATGTGATAGTGGGTTTTTCCATTTTGTTAGGAAGGTCCAAGTGGGGTATTCAAAATTCTTAACAGTTCACTAAAAGTAGGTACTTCAGTTGCAAGGTGCAGTTTATTGTGTATACTAGTGTTATGGAAAATTTGGAAGTGCCGTATAAAACGCCGAAAAAATTGGTCCTTTAACAGTTAAGGAAAAAACATTAATATTTAATTGTTTTAAATCATTTACAGACAAACGTTTATGTGAAAGTGTTGATGAGACCGTTGAGTTAGTTAGCAGTACACTTGGTGTTGGGAAATCTACGATTTACAGAGTTATTAAAGAAGAGAAATGTGGTAGTTTTCAAATGCCACGTAATGCTCCAGGGAAACCAAAATTTCAAATAGAATATCATTTAAAAAAGGACTTCGACGGAAAGTGCATGAATTTCTTCTTTAGACAAGAATTTCCAACATTGGATAAAGTTCTTGTCTCAGTTCGAGATGATAAGGATTACCCAGAAATGAGTCGAAGTACGTTTATGGAAACTTTTAAAAGAAATAGGCTTCCGCTGGAAAAAGAATCCCAGAAAGTCTATTTTATTAGAAAGAAGCGATATTGTCATATGGAGAAGACATTTTCTAAGAACCATAAAGGAAATGAGAAACCAAAAAAGAAAAATATTTTATCTTGATGAAACATGTGATCAACGAGGGTCATACACCAAATAAATTTTGGCAGGATGAAACTGTTACAAGTCAAAGGCACGCTTTTGTAAATAACTTATCTACTGGTTTAAACCCACCATCAGGAAAGGGACGCAGGCTGATAATAGTACACATTGGCAGTTCAGACGGTTTTGTTGAAGGTGGTTTATTAACTTTTGAATCAACTCGTACCGGTGACTACCATGAAGACATGAACGCTGATGTCTTTCAAGAATGGTTCGAACAAATAATAGATCTTCTTCCTAAGAACTGTGTAATAGTAATGGATAATGCAAGTTATCACTCCAGAGTTATAGAAGGACTGCCCACAACCAAGTGGTTAAAAAAAGACTTGCAGAATTGGCTAAGTTCAAAAATATTACGTACCATCCCGGATCTATAAGAAAGGAACTTTATTCGTTGTGTGCCCTTCATAAAGAAAAATTTAAAAAATACGAAATTGATGAAATTGCCAAAAATCGTGGAATGACAGTACTTAGATCCCCACCATATCATTGTGAATTAAACCCGATTGAACTGGTATGGGCACAGATAAAGAGTGAAGTTTCAAGAAAAAATACCACTTTTAAAATTCATGATGTTAAACAGTTGTTTTTGGAGGCCGTAAATGTAAAACCTGAAAACTGGGAAGAGGCAGTAAATCACACTATTAAAGAGGAAAAAATGTGGAAGCTGGACAATATTACTGATAAAATGATCGAGCCAGTTATTATAAATCTTGGTTCTGAAAGTTCATCTTCTGAATCTGATTTGGATTTGTAACAAGTAGCTGTAAGTTTTATATTAATATATTTTATTCATCTATTTAACATACCTTATTACGGTTTTAAAAACTCTTTTTCTCTTTTTTAAAAATTTAAAAAAATGTGAATTTTTTTAAAACCCTTTTTAATGTAGGTCACTTTTGTTTACATACACATAACACTTTATAACACTGAAATAATTCATTTATTTTTTACAATTATTCAAAGTAATTTTTCAATTAATCTTGAGCACGCCCATGGAGTGGTCGAAGGTACCAGTTAAAATTATGCTAATTACTCTCTCGTTCATAAAAATAAACTATAGATATATTGGCAATATGGTAATTTCAGTACTGATGTCAGTACTAAAATTATTAGTTAGTTGAGCGAGTCGATTTAGTATGAAACATGTAGATTTGTGTTTGCAACTGTGTTAATTTTAATTAACATGTAGGCATGCCCTCTACCAATTTTGTATTGATAACCAACAATAAAGTTTGTTTTACGGTCAGAGTAAACAAAACACACAGGTAAATAATGATGGTAAAAAAGAAGTTAAAATTATGTGCAGTAGCTTTAATTGTAATAATGATGCTTAAAAAAAATCATAAACTTATGGATCGAGAAAAGAAGAGGTTATGAAAGGAATATTAAATATGTTAAATGAAGAATTGAAGGGCTTTGGAGGAAACGGTAACAAGCCACAAAAGTAGAAAATGGAGAAAACCTAGTTTGAAACTTTCAATCAAATCCTTAGATCAGAGTTTTTATTATAACACAACAATATTTTTTTAAATGAAGCTTTATTCTGAATATAAGCAATTTACAAACTAAAAAAAAAACAAACTGAACTCTTAACTAAAAGAGAACAAATATTTTTCTTGAGCAACATGGCTTCAGTAGTGCACTGGCAATTTCATCACTACCCCTCTTTGCCACATTTTCGGTCAAGTGAACATGTACCCTGCTCTCTGTTGCAGTTATGGATGCCCAAATTGTACATCCATGCCTTTCTCAAATAAAATGCTTTTCCCACAGTCAAATTCGGCACTGGCAATGCCTGTTGTAAATCAAATGAAATTACTTCCTTTTCATCTGTTAATTTGGCATGTGCAGACTCTTTTATCAAGAGTCCTGTTGCATCGCCTCAGCCCTTCTTTGATGCAACTCTAACTTTAACTTAATTTGTTGACATTCTTCAGCATTTTCTTTATTTGATTCGAGCGAGACATTGTATGAATCGCATGTTTGGCATGTATCCGTTTTTGGCAGTTTAAATCCTATATTATATTGCGAGCAAAAAACTCTTCTGTAATAATTTTCTTTCACTGGGACAATATGTTTGGCATTGCACCAAGGTATATAATAATCTGTATATAAAGATGATATGGACAAATCGTGATTGATGTAAGTGCGGTTGGGGTTATCTTGCCTGCTGTAATGGCTGGAATATTTGGGTATTGCTTGAATATGTCGATGGATGGACAGAATTCTCTCTTCAGATATTTTGTTTTTTCTGTTCGTATGTTTTCCTCGCTTATCAGTTTTTGGAGTAGACTTTCCTTCCTTTATTTGGCAACAGATATTATATATCCGCTTTTTTGACTGCTGGAGACCATGAACTGCCAAAAATTCAGATTTGCATACTTCTTTGTCGGTGGCATTAATCTTTATATAATATTTAAATGATACACTTCTACAAGATGTTTGGCGTTTGATTTTTTTTTGGGTAACTTCTTTTTTTGGGAATGCATTTTATTCTACCAAATAAGTAGTTATTTTGTTGCTGTCGAGTCCCCAGATTCCAAAATGCATGAAAAATTTCTTCTTCTTTCCCATCAGGCTTGTTCTACATTTGTGTTTGCATTTACATGGTTTCTCCAATAGCTTTAGGTTCCATTTCAGTCCCTTGGTATGTTTTGTACCCATGGCCCAGATTTCTTCTTGTTTTCTCCCGGTCCCTTTTCTTAGAATGAACTTTTCTCCAGCGTGAGGGCGTTGAATTTTCTGGAAAACTTAGATAACCTCTAGAAATATCTTGTTTCTGATCCGAGGGATCGTTGGACTCATTTTCGTCCTGAAAAAAAAAGATATCAATTTTTTGCAATAAGGTAATAAGCCACACACATTTTTCGTAGAAATTCTGCTAGGCATATGAACAAAAATACTGCAGCCGGAGATATAACGCAGTACACATCGTAGTTACACAACATTACTGCGTTATGTAGACGTATTGTACGTAAAGGCAACAATACATATTTCGATACATAGGTAAAATATGAAATTTTATATTAAGCTTAAAAATAACAAAATCTTTTGCTAAAAAAGGGAATAAGCCGCATAGAAATAAACTTACCAATATATGTGTAACTCCTTCTGTTGAACAGTCACTTTCAGTAACACTGTAATCTTTATCATTCAGATCGTCATCTGAATCAAAATCAGAGAATTCACTTCCACTACTACTCTCAAATCAACTTTTCTTTTAGCTCGGCGTAATTTATAGTCATCCATCTTGAAAATCGCCTGTGGCATGTTCCTTTTCTAACCAAAAAGTTCTGAATTTTGGCAATTGTTAAGAAAGAAATTCGCGTATAGAGGCGCCATCTCTTTATCAATAGCTGAAATAATTGATCAGCAGTTTCGTTGCACACTTGCAGGTATCTTTTAGAGGAAATTTAATTTTTTAGATATATGTGGCTTGTTACCTTTTCTCCACAAGCCCTTCAATTATTAGTAGAAGATCCTTTGACATATAAAAACTTTTTACGAATGAATAATAATTTGTTTAAAACATTGTTAAGACCAGTTGAGAATAACCTCACTTTTAGTTAATATTTCATCATTTCTAGTACAAAAAATTGGAACATGTCCTAATTTTTTAGTACTGAATCGGCTCGCGCATCTAATTTGTAGATTCAATATTTTTAGTACTAAATTCCGTACTGAATTTAGCATAATGACAAGCACATCTTATTTGATTGTCTAAACTAAAACGCATCAGTATTTATAGTTATTTCTTGAAGCAGTATGCTGTAATTAAGAAGCACGAATAAAGATTCATGGGCCTAACTATAAAAATAATGTCTCCTTTTGAACTGTATCTGCAGACTAAAAAAAATCAACATTGATCTCTTATCAATTTCCGAGAAAATTAAATGGAATAATCTTATCTTAAATAATAAACTTAATAATTGATAATATTTGTTATTATTCTAAACCTTGCGATTCCGTAACTGAATATCTGCCGGAATGAAAATAATAAAACTATATTTTTAAGTATTTTAATAAGAACTAACCTCTTGCATGATCCTTATCCAAATTCACGACGGTTTTCTTCCATTCTTCCAGTTTTTCTTGTAATGGTATTATCAGGCATTCCATGATAACGCTAAAAAAATTAAAACAGACAAAGACAATTATTGATGTGTCGCTACAAGAGTAGTTCTAAAATTTTTTTGAACACGTTTTTTTAGATTATTTGAGGCGTCTAATTATTTAATACTGGTCTCCCATGCATTAAATATTTTTCCAGAAGTTCAAAAATACTCCCCCCACTTGTTCTTTAATTTTAAATCATACTATGTATACTGTATTTGCTAAAATAAACATTACAGAAATTTAGACGGCTGTGACATTGCGCACGCAATTTGGGCTTATTTTTCATTAATCGTGATATTAACAGTGCTTTATTATTAAAACCATCGTGAAAATGGTTCTTACAACTGAGGAGAGAGTTTTTTTAGTAGAGCATTATTTCCGCTCACACGAAAATGGACGGAATAATTGTCCGTGAAAAGTTTGAAACAAGTGTCTGGAAAATATCAATAAGTATAACTATTTAACAAGGTGACCCTCAGTAAAAGTGTAATGGATCCCGGTGTAAGTCAGATCTATTTCACGGACGCGACCCTGCTCACGCAAGCCATGACTATCCTTCAAAACCAAATAGGGGAGGTCATGTCCCGATCCAAGTTTCCTACCAAACACCCAAAAATCCTTTCCGATTATCCAACCCACAGGAGTAAACCTATTGCGTCGGAAAAATCATTGGGGAAGGCAACGAGAAACCACCCCAATTATTTCTCCCGAGTAAAGTTAACATGGCTCAATACAATCGTAACGGAAGTATTACTGATCATGGAAACCAAGATCCGGCAGGGAAGGGCGCGCACCAGACTGTAGGGCCTCCCCGGTCGTCATCACACGAAATCCCTACAATTTTACAAGTATGACAGCTTTTAAAAATGTCTAGCAGTACAATCAGATTAGGTACCTGGAACGTTAAAAGCCTCTATGCAGCAGGCAAGCTCAGTAACTCACAACAAGATGAAGGCACACTATACTATTCTGGAAGTGTAGAAGATGACACACATCATAGGAATGGAGTTGGCTTATTTATAACGTCTAAATTTAAGAAATATGTGAAAAATTTTATACCAGTGAACGATAGACTAGCAATACTCCAATTAAATAGCAAACCATTTAATGTCAATGTTATCCAGATATATGCCCCTACTGCAGAAAAGAAATATGATAATGATGTCGAATCATTCTATAGCCAATTAAAACAGACACTTAAAAATCTAAAAAGTAACGAAGTCACATATATTATTGGAGATTTTAACGCAAAAATTGGCCAAGGCCGAAGATCTGACCTGGTAGGTGAATATGGACTAGGGGAGAGCAATGAAAGAGGCGATAGATTATACCAGTTCTGTCAAGAACATGACATGATAATCGCAAATACATGGTTCAAATTACACAAAAGAAGGTTATACACATGGAGGGGACCAGGAGATAATTCACTACATATGATTAGAAATCAGATAGACTATATTCTGGTAAACAAGAGATTTAAGAATGGCGTCACCAGAGTAACGACATATCCTGGTGCAGATATCGGTTCAGACCATAACCCTGTAATAACTGACATCAAAGTGAAGCTCAAAAAAGTCCAAGAAAGCCCCAAAACACCAAAATTAAATATCTCAATATCCAACAAAACGTTAATAGAAAATGACTTAAACAATGAGCTAAAGAAATCAATAAATGAAAACAACACAGAAATATGGAACACATTTAAAGATCTTACCTTGAAAGTAATAGAAAAATATTCAACAACGTTACACATTCACAAAAAACAACAATGGATGACTGATGAAATCCTGGAATTAATGGAGCAGAGAAGGAAACTGAAAGGTAACAAGACAGAATATAAGGAAAAACAGAAACTAATTAAACAAAAAATAAAGGTGGCTAAAGAAAAATGGATGGAGGATAAATGCAAGGAATTAGAAAAGTTGAATGAAAAACATGATACGTTTAATATGTTTAAAAAAGTTAGAGAAGTAGCTGGTCTTTATCATAAGAAAACTCCACATACTATAACCGATTCGTCGGGAAAAATGATAATAGACGAACATGAAATTCGAACAACCTGGTGTAATTATATAAGTGAACTGTATAATGATGATAGACCCGAAGAACCGGAGACTTTAGTTGAAGGTGAAGGACCAGAAATACTAAAATCAGAAATACTGCATGCTATAAAGTTAGCAAAGAACAAGAAAGCCGTTGGCCCTGATAACATACCGACAGAGATGTTAAAGCTTATAAATGAGGAGAACATTGGAATACTGGTCAAACTTTTCAATGATGTTTATTCGACTGGTGATATCCCTGAAGATTGGTTAAAGTCCGAATTCATAACACTACCAAAAAAACAACGTCCGAAAAACTGTAGCGATTATAGAATGATAAGCCTTATGAGCCACACTTTGAAAATATTTCTACGCATCATCCACAGTAGAATCAGAGATAAATGTGAAGAAGATCAGGATGAAACACAATTTGGCTTCAGAAATGGACTGGGAACTCGGGACGCCCTCTTTGCACTAAATGTATTACTGCAGAAATGTCGAGATCAAAGGAAAGACGTCTTTGCTGTATTTATTGACTATGAAAAGGCCTTTGATCGAGTACAGCATCACAAATTAATTACAATATTAAAAGATAAAGGAGTTGATAGTCAAGACATACGATTCATAGAAAAGTTATACTGGCGTCAAACAGCGACAGCTTGCATAAACGGAAAATCAACAGAAATATGTAAAATACAAAGAGGTGTCAGACAGGGTTGTATACTATCCCCACTGTTATTTAATTTATATTCAGATAGAATATTTAAAGAAGCGCTGCATAATTTGGAATGGGGCGTGAAAGTTAATGGAATTCTGATAAATACAATCAGATATGCAGACGATACAGTTATTTTAAGTGATGACATGAATGGATTACAATGCCTTTTAAATGCCATTGATACAGTGGGAAGAGAGTTTGGCCTAAACATAAACTGTTCAAAAACAAAACACATGGTGTTTAGCCGTTTAGCACATCAAGATGCACGATTATATGTTGATGGTCATATAATTCAAAGAGTGTCCAGTTTTAAATATCTTGGTTGCCATATTACTGAACAACTAGATCCAGATCAAGAGATAAAATGTAGAATCGAGATAGCCCGCACGACATTTTTAAAAATGAGGTCATTCTTCTGTAATGATAACTTGAAACTTCAACTTCGAAAGCGTATGGTTAAATGCTACATTTGGTCAGTCCTCTTATACGGTGTCGAAGCATGGACATTAAAAATATCCACCATTAATCGTCTGGAGGCCTTTGAAATGTGGCTGCACAGACGTATACTAAAAATTCCATGGACGGCTATGCTGACAAATGTGGCAGTCCTTGAGAGAGCAAATGCTGCTCGCGAGCTGCTTGATAACATCAAATGTAGAAAGATGGCCTATTTTGGACACGTAGTAAGGGGAGACCGATATAATATTCTTCAACTTATTATGATGGGTAAAATCGAAGGACGCAGAGGAATTGGTAGAAAGCAGGCCTCTTGGTTGAAGAATATCAGAGAGTGGACAGGAATAAAGAAAGCTGAGCAACTCTTTAGAATAGCTCGAGACAGAGACAGTTTCGCCATGTTAATCGCCAACGTCAAGGGGACTTTATAGGGCACGTTAAGAAGAAGATAACTATTTAACAAGGTGACCCTCAGTAAAAGTGTAATTGTAACTATTTCTGCAAAAATCCGAATGCCACATCTCACATCCAAATTTCTATTTTTTTACAGATCCGCCTTGGTCTATACACCGCCCTATTTGAAACGATAAACGGTTGAAGACTGTTTATCACAGTATTGAAGATATATCGGGAGAATAGTCAAATAGTTAAAAAAAAAATAGAAAACTGTCAAAATTCATTTACCACAAATTTACAACAGACATAAGATTTAGAAGTTCTTCTTCTCATGGCACCGTCTTCTTTCGAAGGTTGGCGAGCTAAATGGCAATTGTAGTTCTGGAAACTGCTGCGCGAAAGATTTCTGCGGATGAACGGTCGAACCATCTCCTCATGTCTTTCAGCCATGAGCTCTGGCGTCTTCCTACTATCTTTTGCCCTGTACTTTTCCTTCCAGTATAAGTTGAAGTAATTCATATTTTTCGCCTCCTCAACACATGTCCCAAGTGTTGCATTTTCCTCTCTTTGATTATGCTTAGTAGTGATTATTTAGAAGTTATATATGCATTTTTATACTTAATAAGTTTTTTTTTAAATAATTTCCAGACTGAAATCCGCGACATTAAAAATATGTAATTTTAATTAAAATTACTCTGGTTTAATTCTAATAAATATAAAATATTTCATGAAAAAGGGGGCTGGAGAGGAGAACATTGTCGGTTTAAATTCATTAAACAATAACCATTTTTTATGAATCATCCTCTACATCAGTGGTCGCCAACCTGTCGATCGCGAGCTACCGGTAGCTCGCGGAGGCAATTCTGGTAGCTCTCACAACGATTTTAATTTAAAAAATACAAACTGCAAAAATCAGAGAAGCTTCCGAAAATTCCACAAAAAAATCTAATTGTCATAATATTAAACATAAACAGCGGCAACGTTGCGGTGAGCGATCTGCCCCTGACGCCGTCAAGCTAGAATCGGCTATTTATAGAACGACAGCCGGACCAGGCTTAGTGTTCGAGAACGATTGGATTGCTTGAACGGGATAAATACGCACGGCGCGGCGACATTGCGCTTAGTTTAAAACTGAACGCGTAACCAACGTCCAGCGGTTGGGTTAGTAGAGAACAACAAAAATAATATTATGGCAAGCAGTTGTAAGAAGGTAAAGACATACCACTTTCATTCGGAATGGGAAGAACAATACTTTTTTACAGAAGTTAAAGATAAAAATGTGTGTTTGTTATGTAATACTTCGGTCTCCGTTGCTAAAAAAGGAAATATTGAGAGACATCATAAAACTGTACATTCTAATTTTGAAAAATCATTCCCACTACATTCTGCCGCCAGAAAGGAGAAACTGAAACAGTTAAAAAAACAGTTAATTGGACAACAATCAATATTTTTAAGAACAGTCGACAAAAATAAGGCTGCAACTGAAGCATCGTACCGTGTGTCCCAGATAATTGCACAAAAAAAGAAACCTTATGAAGACGGGGAAATGATAAAACAGGCGTTTTTAGAAGCTGCTGATTCGTTATTTGCCAACTTTAGAAATAAAGACGAGATAGTTTCAGCTATAAAATCTATGCAACTTTCTGCTAATACAGTGATGAGACGTGTAGAAGTAATGAGCAATGATATTTTTTTACAGTTAAGAACTGACTTAGATAACTGTGTTTATTTTTCACTTCAACTGGATGAATCAACAGATGTCGTTGACACTGCCCAGATGGCCGTGTTCGTCAGGATGGTTTTTAGTGATTTTACGATTAAAGAAGATCTTTTGAAGTTCATTCCACTGAAAGGACACACTACTGGACAGGAGTTGTTTTCTCATTTAAAAAATATTATTTCTTCCGAGAAAATTCCAATATCGAAAATGGTAGGCTTGACAACCGATGGCGCTCCAGCTATGGTGGGTTGTGATAAGGGTCTGGTGGCGTTATGTCGTAAAGATGAAACTTTTCCGCAATTTCTCTGTTACCACTGCATTATCCATCAGCAAGCATTATGTGGAAATTTCCTGAAACTAAACAACGTTATGAAACTGGTGGTAAAAATTGTGAACAAGATTAGAGCTCAAGCGTTACAAAGAAGATTATTCAGAACCTTGGCCGATGAAGTTGACTGTCAATACGGGGACCTACTCCTTCACTCTGAAGTCCGATGGTTAAGTAGAGGACGGGTGCTGAAACGTTTTAATGATGTCCTATCTGGCATAGTTCAATTTTTCAAACAACGCGATGAACCGACTCCGGAACTAGAAAATTCAATCTGGCTTAGAGATTTTGGTTTTCTCGTGGACATTACAGAGAAATTAAACGAACTTAATTTGCAGCTTCAGGGGAGAGACAAAGAACTAGCGGAAATGATTTCTGATATAAAAGCATTTATCAAAAAGCTGGAGTTTTGGGAACAAAACCTAATTAACAGCGATTCCAAGCATTTTCCTATTCTTTCAGAAAAAATATCTCAAAATCCATTAGAACCCTATGACAACAAATATCATGTAGAAATAATTTCTACCCTGAAGAGTAACTTCAAAAATCGTTTTAAGGATTTCAATGAAATGGCTTTAGTAGCGCAGTTTGTTGTTTCACCCTTTATGGAAATTGATATCCAGCAGTTTGCAGCTTGTGTTATGCAGAACTTTGGCGAAGACATCGCTGCAACAGAAATGGAAGTCATTGAGTTTCAAAATGATTTAGCCTTAAAATCGTTAGTCTCAAGTACTGAATGTATCTGGCCTATTGTAAGTAAAGACAAATATTCAGTTCTATGCCGTGTTGCCTTGAAAGTGAAAGCATTATTCAGTTCAACCTATTTGTGTGAATCTTCTTTTTCCAATATGAAGTTTATTAAGAACAAATATCGCAATCGACTTACAGATGAACATTTGGATAATTGTATTCGAATGGCTGCATCAAATTATACTGCAAACATTAAAAAAATTATCGATGAGTCTGAGTGTCAGCCTTCTCATTGAACGTGCTTTTTTATTTTTCAATGTTTATGTTTATGATAGTGCGTTACTTTTTTGTTGTTATTATTAACTATTTTTAAATCATACGTGACATGCCGTTGTGGCTGGATAAAAGTTTGTGTTTATTTTTCAAATACCTTCGTTTGATAGGTAGGAATGTAGCTATGAACAAGTACGTACTAGTAATATTAGTTATTTTGTTATTAGTTTATTATTAGTACCTATGTATTATGTATTACCAGTTAAACAGTAAAATAAATACATATAATGATAGATTAACTGTGGATTATTTCATTTACGTTGCGTTACGTGGCTTCCGTGTGGGTAGCTCGCTGTTTATTCCAAAATTAACAAAGTAGCTCAACAGATTGAAGAGGTTGCCGACCACTGCTCTACATGAATACAATATACCAAGACGGTCCTGTCCTACAATTATTTTCAAACTGGATTCCATATAAAAATTCAAGATACGCCTTTATATATCGTTCAAAATTGATTCACTACAAAATGTAAATTTTACTATAGAATTGAAATATTTCAATAACAATTTATTTCCGTAATTACTTTTATTCTTCATGAAATAATAAATTTGCAATTTACTTGAACACTAACCACATACCTTGTAAAATTCTTTAGTCGATTTTCAACTGCTTTATGCCTCAAACATATTCGAGTAAGAGCAGTTCCTATGTCTCGAGTTGCACCTGTAATAGAATAAATTTATTAAACATTCATTCTTAAAATTTTTTATTATATAATAATATTGTTTACTACAGCTCCATGAGATTTATTCCATATATAGAAAAAGTCCCTTGACGAAAAAGAAATATTAAAAATGCCTAGAGTATTCGAGATTTAATGGAAAAATCCCGAAATGTCTAGTAATGTTTGGAACTTCAGAAAATGTATATAACCACAGGAAGTTGACAGTTTAAAACGTTAAGCCCCATGTGTACCACACTGGCACACACTCTAGTTTTATCTGGGACCGTGTGTACCTAACAGGCCACAGAGAAGTGTCGTGTTCCTAAAGCTGTGGCTCGTCGAGTATCGCATTTGCCGTGCTTTCTTATGTATAAATTTGTATAAACGGTCTGTGGTAAACAAAATCAGAGGTTGGCCCGTTAAACCACGTGTTCACAAACAGGTTAGGTTATAATTTCTAACATACTTCAGTCAGTATCGGTTTCGAAGGTCTAACGAGGCTAAGACTATTTTCTCTTCAGTTTTTTGTTAAAAAGTTGAACTAAAAAATAAGATAATGTTCCGTAAAGGACTATCGGAAGACGAACTTCGCAGAAATTGCTGAGGAGAGTAACTTTAGTGATATCAGTATGCCTGAAAGTTATGATTCCGATGCCGATCCTAGTGTACAATGAAAATGTTACTGATGATTCTTCAGACTCAAGCAGTAGTGAATATGAGTCTCGTAGAAAAAAAGCTAAAATTAGCAAACAAACATAAAAAATGCAAAGAATTAACTGCAGGTCCTAGTTCTAACCAAAAAGAAGCCTGACACTAAAAGGATAGGTAAGTTATTTAGAAATGCACAATTACTGGTTTGTAGTTTACTTTTTTTTTGCTTTGTAGAAAAAACTGATTCTGCAAACGTTAGCCTGAAAGCTGTTGTTGACTATGTTGTATCAAGAAATAAAATAACATGTGCCAAATCCAGATGATCTCAATAAGTTCGAACTATCCTTTTACTTCAGAAACAAAATAAGGAAGAAATTGCAAAACTTACAAACCACAAACCAATAGATTTCTACCCTACTGTTTATCGACCGTCAAGTACAAGATTTGTTGGTTACTGAAACTAATAAATACGTCGAACAAACCAATAATCGCTGGTATTGTAAATGAATCAATAACGAAAACATTCGCTTATAAGTAACTGGAGACCAAATTGACAGAGAAGAATTGCTTCCAATTTTTGGCTCGCATTATTTGGATGGGGTTAGACAGAAAACCCGAACTCAGAGACTATTGGAGTAACAGTTTACTATTACAAGAAATGAAGTTTCTAAAATGTGTGAAATAAGTAGAAGTCGATTTGAAATAATATTACACTTCTTTCACATTTCAGATAACGAAGACCTGGAAACAGACTCTGCAAAATTTCTCCTCATTTTACAAATACTAAATGAAAAGTTCCAGAAAATGTATACTCCTAGAAGAATCGATATGTCATTGACGAAACTATAGGTGCCATTTCCATGGTAGACTTAGTTTTTTGCAATACAATTCCATGGAACAAAATATACCAAATATGGAGTCAAACTGTTTAAAACTTTGCGTCGAAGATGGATATAAGAAAGTGTTAGGGTTAGAACAGATGCAACCATCTGAAAAGTCAGTTAGCATCCAAGAGTGGTGATGGGGAACTAATTGCACACCGCTTCTCAGATCTACAGGCAGAACTTATATACTGATAATTTTTATACGAGTGTTGACTTGGTCCAATAATTTAACTAATAGGAAAAACCCATTTTAGTCGGAACAATTACGTGCCAATAGGAAACATCATCCAAAAGCGGTAGTCGATGTCAAAAATTAAAAAGAGGTGACATTAAATATCTACAGAGTAATACAAAAGTTGTTATGCGCAAAATGGTAAAGATAAAACGGGATGTTTTGTTCTTTAATCGAGCAAGGATATTCTTTGATGATGGATGTTCAAACAAAACGTGGACCTGTTCCCAAACCATCACAACCATTGTTGACTCACAATTCTGCAAAAAACTTTTATTGATGTGTCGGATCAATCATATTCGGATTTCGGATGAGGCTTGGTACAAGGGAGGCATTAATTTGGCCTCAAGAATATTATTACAAAAATGCCGAGATCAGCCTTAAAGACGATATTTGGTCTGTTTTATCGACTACGAAAAGAGCGTTAGTAACACACATAGAACTCATAGAAACTGTAACACTGTATTAAAAAACTATATGGGATCAAATGGCGTCGATTCAAAATATGACAAATCGCCTGACAGCAGAATTGCCAATAAAAAGAGGAGTTCGTCAGGGCTGTGTACTTTCGCCACTGTTATTTAATATATATTCCGAAAAGATCTTTCAAAATGCCCTCGAAAAATATTGAAAGAAGGAATAAAAAATTAATGGAGAATACGTAAACAACTTAAGATACGCAGACGACAACCGTCATTATTGCGGACAGTGCTGAGGTTTACAACGACTTTTGAATGTCCATAACCAGATAGGGAGATAGCTTGGGACTAAATATAAACACAAATAAAACAAAATGTAATGGCTGTTACACGTGACACCAAATGTCGACATTAATATTCGTATCTATAACAAACATATAGAACCAGTACAAAGATTCCAGTATCTTGGTTGCTGGATAACAAACGATCTTGACCACGAGGTCGAAATACGTGCTCGTATAGAATATGCTAGGTCCGCATTTCAACGAATGAAAAAATTCCTAATAAACTCTACGTTATCGTTGGATATCCGATACCAATTTGTAAAAACGTTTATTTATTCCATATTGCTATACGGAAGTGGAAACATGGACTCTCGGAATTACAAGTATGAGGCGTATAGAAGCCTTTGAGATGTGGGTTTTTTCGAAGGATGCTGAAGATCTCTTGGACAGAGCACGTGACCAACAACGAGGTGCTAAGAAGAATGGGTACTGAAAGAGAACTCCTAAATATTGTAAAAAACAGAAAAACGAGTTATCTAGGACATATTTACAGAGGAGAAAAATACAACTTCCTACGACTTATAATGGAAGGGAAAGTGGAAGGAAGAAGAGGTCCAGGAAGAAGAAAATGCTCCTGGATTGAAGAATGTAAGAGACTGGAAGTAAGGGTATGGACACACATTCGATACTAAGTAACAGCTTAAGATAGAGAGCAATGTGCTGTAGTTAATGGCCAACCCTTCCAGTAATGGAGAAGGCACCTTAAAGGAGAAAGCCAGAATCAAAAGGATGCAATAATATTTTCCCCTGTTCGACGAAGTATAAAGTGGTATCGCTAAATTGGCCCTGTGGAATTACTAACAAAATACCAGCAATTGTGAACTCCATAGATCTCCTACAAATCTGTTACGGGCAAACATACTCTCAATTACTGAGTTCCGTGAACAGGATTGTTTTAAAGTCTTTTAAATGCCACAAACAACTTCTGAAAACACGTGCCATACAACTCTACATACGTTGGACCGAGAAAAGAAAAAAGGGGAAGGTGTTTTCAGTATGTTATTAAGGAACTTTTCGAACCGTGAAGGAAGCACATCAGTGATGAAGAATGCCAAAATAAGGGTGTACACTTTTTGTGCGGCATGTGCCCGTTACTACCACATATATATCTGTGCTAAGTGTTTTTGTGAATATTCATACATGTTCTTTGAAAAAATAGATTGTTTTTGTATTTTTAAACTTAAAATATGTTAGGGAGAAAGTATTTGATTATCTTCCCCTGGTTGTGGAGCCAATATGGCATACATGGTTCACATTATAAAACAAATTACAAAAAATAATTATAAAATAGACCGTGTTGTACCGTGTTGGAATACATGCCTGTTTTTTACTTAAGTATCTTTTTTTTTTATTTTAAGAATAAGAAATAAATAGTTATACACATTCTTATTCCAAATTATTAAAAAAATTTTGTAACAAGTAGTATTGCAATATCGTTTGTGTTTTGAATAAAGTAATTTAAAGAAGTGTAACTAATCTAATGAGCAGGCGGTGGGGATAAAAAGAGATAAATTAAGTAATTGTTCATGGTTAATACAAGATCTACTGAATTTGATAAAGAAAACGGATACGTCCGACCCCGCATGGTTTTTAAAAATTTAAAAAGAGGAAGAGAAGTAAAATCAAATAAATGATCGTTGTAGAAAACAACTGTTGGTAGAGGTACAAAATCAAAAAAACGATATTTTCAATCTATTGGTGCTGATTGGCAAGCTTTTTTTTTTTCTTTCATCTCCAACTCTACTCTTCCAGCTAATCATTCGAAACGTCATAGATTTTTCTATTAGTACATAATAAACACAGTTTTGAAATAACTTCCAACTGCGTTAAATCCTGCAGGAGATTACTGCACAAACATACGATCATGTTGGAAATTATTTCATCTCTGCATTGATAGAATTTTTTATATCTGTAAAAAGTACGCAATTGTTATTTATGTTTGCAAATATTAAACAATATAATAAACTTATTGTGATGAAACGATTGTGATATGTAATATATATGACAAGAGATATGATACCCGTATCAAGGATATGGTTGGATTGTAGCAGATAATTTTCACGTAACTAAATGCCATAGTCAAATAGTTTTGTTGTTTTTAATAAATATTGAATCGAGAGTATTATTGTAATAATAGAATATATACACTTGAGTGCAAAATAATCGACTCAAAAATTATTTTGCGACAGTACGTCTCCTGCTTCAATCTAAAAAGTGTAAATTTAAAAATATTTAGTGTACAATCATTATCATCATTATTGAGTTTTAAAAAAGTTAAGTTTTTTGGTGAATCGGATGACATATTACAAATAAATAATGCAACACATAGGGGAGGGGTGTCAGAATTTGATTCATTGAAAGTGACACGCACCGACTCAACGCGTTCGGTTAACATCGTAACGCATTCAATTTCCATAGCAACCCACTAAATACAGTAGTCCACTTTGGTAACATTTTTTTTATTATTAA